TTCACACACATGCGTTGTCAACAGACGACATGCACCCAACCAGGCCTCTGCCCAGGTGGTCTGTATGGGTAGCCAGTGGTCTGCAGCCCAGTACAAAGATGCTGAAATTTGAGGCAACCACACTGGCAGGAGCAGGATTCACTGTGAGGTCCGGGCTTGCGTTACATGACCCTCGATGCTCGTTATCTCCACACAGCAATTCATTTTTTTTTCATATTCCTGGAAATAAAGGAGATGAGTCATGAATTGTGATGTACTTACACAATTTCAAGCACACATATTTTTCAAAATCCCCCAAAAGTCTTACGGAACACCTGTCTAATTACAATGCTAACCAAAAAGTATTGCCAAACCTTTGTTGTTCATACAACAAAGGGAAAGGTTCAAGATTATCTGATGATGCTGCCCTGCAAAGACAAAACACAGTCATATTTGGTCAAAATGTTGTTAAACCTCATTGTTTTAACATCACTGCTTTTGTAATACTGCTCTGCCTTTGTAGGGTAAGCTGTGATTTAAAAAAAGAAAAGAAAAGAAAAGACGAAGACTTAAGGGGGAGGAAAATGTGAAAAACATGCTTGGGCACTTATTTCCCCGATCCTCGCAGATTAAAGTAATCCCAGGGGATGTTTAGTCCTCTTCACCCTAAATGATGCCAGCTATCAGCCTGCAGCAGATTCACCCAAACACCCAAATCCACAAACATACGTGTCTGCTGCTCTGATGACAGGAAATCGTGGATTTGTGTAGTGCGATGCCTTAATCTTCTTCGGTGGAACTCATCGGCAGTTATTCATCGCTAAATAGTTCAGGCAGATTCATGAATATTCATCCAGCAGCATTTTAGGGTTTTAGCTCCAAGCTAGGATTTGTACGTAATTAGATACTTCCCTAAAGAAAGAAAGAAGGAAAAGATTATACCCTTGGGTTCTCAGACAGGCTGACTGATTGTTGGCAACAACGTGAAGATCTTGTTGTGCCCACTGTCTACATGTCTGACTGGTGGTTTGTGGCATGATGCCCTCAGACAGCACGCTCTGGATATGACATGCCTGATGGAACGCGATGCCTGTAGCTGAAACCGATCTGCGCTGACAGACACACAGGTTACTGTACCCTTAGCAAGCCTGGCATGCCCAGGACACTGTGGCCCAGCAATGGCGGGAGCTCAAGCATGAGCAGACACACGAAAAAACACACACACACACACACACACATACTGATAGCGTGCCAAATTCCACAGAGCCGTAAATGCAATCAGGGGCAGATGGGAAAGGTAACCGAGTGGTGGTAAACTGCATGCCGGGGTACTGGAAGCCATAACGAGGTGCCTCGACAACATGAGGTGTTTGTGTGACGTTTCAGGAATCATGACTGTTAGCTTTTCTTTCCGAAAGTAGACGAGAAGATCGATAATACTCTCAAATCTTTGCTTAGCTTAGCATAAAGACGGGAAGCAGGGGAAAATAGCTAGCTTGGCTCTGTCAAAGGTAACAAACTCACTCATTAGCACCTCTAAAGCTCACAAGTTAGCATGATATATCCTGTTTGCCCGATTCGTACAAAAACCGAAGTGTAGAAACGACAAGTTTATTTTTTTTCTTAAGGGTTATATTCAGGACTATTTCTTCTCAGTGACTTCCAAGAGTCGTGTCGAGAGGTTGCCATGAAGAGGTGTTGGTTTTGGTTGCCTGGTCGAAGTGTTGATTGGTGAACTTGTAGTTTTATTACCCTTAGACAGAACCAGGCCTACCGTTTCCTCCTTTTTCCAGTATTTACGGTAAATTAGTCTATCCATCACCTGGCTGTCGCTTCATATCAGAAACAGATGATTGGTATCGATATTCTCATCTAACTCTTGGCTGGAGAGTGAATAATTGTACTTCCAAAAAGTATTTCTTGAATCATGAAGTTTCCGTTGCTTGCAGGAGAAAAAAACAAATCTGTTAGCTGCCTCTTTAATGCAAAAACAAGCTAGCTGGTGTCCCGTGAAGGGCAATTTCTCTCGCTGGTACTCGGCAAATTCCTGCCCTCTCTTTGAACACATGTGACAAGCAGCGCTTTGACTCTCAGGCCAAATATCACTGATCAAACAGCTATGTGTGGTGTCAGCCGAAGGGGGACAACTAGGTTACTCATATGGGGGGCACTGACCTGCTGCAAGTATGTTTAGCTAGGAAACCAACACATGTACTGTACATACTGTGGCCCTATTTTGCACTTGTAAAGTCATACCTACATGCGTGTGTTCATGCATATAAATTGCAGAGTAAAAAACATACGCAGCTGCCTCTAATAAGGCCTAGAAGCATGAAACAGTGTCATTGAGCATCTAGCATCCAGCCCATCATTGCATTCAAACAAAAGATGTCAGCTAAAAGACTGTCATTAGCTGCTGCCTCAAACCCCTTATTTGTCTTCCCACACAGAAAAGTCCCTGTGAGATCTGTCGAGCGAACAACTGACAGACGCTATTTAGGCTCGTAGAGTCCCTAAAAATACATTTGTGCTCGGGGCAGTGATTATGCAACTCCGCTGATGGTAGCTTTGAGCGAGTGATCCCCGCTGAACATGTCCATCAATAAGAGCAACAGCATTTGAAACATGAGGACGTGGCTTAGCTATGCGCCGCCAGTCGCAGTGAATGTGAACTATTCATATCTCCAAGCATTATCCACCGCTCGCTTCTGCTTTGTGGGGTGTCTGTTGTGCTCTCGGGGTGCCGTGTGGGAGGTCAAAGTTCAACCAGGGGGCTCCCGGATTCCCTGCTCTTTCAAAGACAGTGGCCTTTGCATGATGAGTGGCATGAGCAGGTTGTCTTTGAATTTCAAGGAGCTATTAAAGACAATAATTTAACCCCAAGGTGGAAAGGAAACGGTTTAAGCCCCCCTCTTCAGGCTTCAGGTAAAGATTTATTTTCCTTCCCCGGGGAAAATAAACATTTACATTCCTGGGCTCAGCGTGTTAATAGAGATTAAGCTGAATTCAGGCCTACGTGTCAGACAGCAATTCAGGTGGCTCATACCATACATACCTGTACTATTTGTGTGGCTCTCAATGGGCATCTCCCTCAGACCTTTGAGCTTGGCTGAGGGCCGATGACAATCTCTCGGAACATTGTTATTACGGTGGTCCTGGACAGCTTCAAAAGCGACACGCAAGTCCTAATGCACGACCACTTTGGGCTGCTGCTTCAAAGAACTTAATGTCTCTTACTTTAATGAAGGTATGGGATCAAAAGGAAGAGGAGTTGCCGACCCCAGCCATCAATTATACTGGAATACAGAATTCCTTTCTTACTGAAGTGGAAAATGTCGTACTCCTTATTGAATCCCTGAGATATTTATTTTAAATGTGATAGAATCACAGCGAAGTAGGTTTTTCTGTCACAGTCTGTTAGTACAAGTCATTTACTGTACTCAGAAAAATGAAACACGTCAGGTCAGGCCTGTATTCAAAATGCATCTCGCCGGTGTGGGAGGCATTCATGTCCAAAGATACAATGCAGACCTTCATTAAGTTGCAAGAAAAATATGATCCTCACAAAAACAGAGGGAGCTGTTATTTCCCCCCGGAGCCGGAGCGGAATGACATGGGTCTCATCAAGGTAAATCATAAACAACAGCCGATTTCATTCATACGCCATGCAAAGACCAAGAGTATGAATGTTTCATTCCAATTGATCTCAGTTCATAAGCAGTCAGAGCTTGATTCAGCTAAAACTCCCCTTGACCTTAAATGGCACATGGTTGGCAGCGCTGGGCGCATAACTTGAAAGACTAATGCATTTCATACTTGTGACTAAATCTAAAGCTGTGAAAAGTAGGCGAAATCCTCAACTGGTGCACAGCCGACAACACATGGTCCACGTTCCAACTGAAGCCCAAGTACCTGGAGTCCTCGTGTTGTAGGGGGCAGGGCCTGAGGAAGAGAATTAGGCCTTTTTGATGATGTTTTACCATCAGGATAATAAGTATGCAAATAATTAATAAAGCAATGTTTAAAGCCAATGTTTAGCTCATTTTTTTTGATTGATTTAAATTGTGATATAAGAGAGAAACCACATGCAGCTTGAAATGAAAGAATTTAATCTACATTGACACATTATTGGACATTTAGAGGGGTCATAACAAAGGAAACAATATGTATTGCCAACTGTTTATACCAAGCAGCTGACATGAAGAGAACTGTTCAATTTATTGTTGTGTTAGAGGTCTGTACTGTAAATCTACAGGTGGATGGTTAGCTTAGCATAAAGACTGGAAGCAAGTGAAAACATCTAGCCTGGCTCTGTCTGAAGGTTACATGGTACTTAGTTAGCGTTAGATTTCCAGTCTTTGTGCTAAGCTAAGCTAAGCAGCTGCTGGCTTCAACTGCATATTTACTGTACAGATGTGAGAGTACCAGTATCAATCTTCTCATCTAACGCTCGCCAAGGAAACAAATACGTGCATTTTAAATGTCATATTTGTTTTTTTGACAACTCAAGGCCAAACTTCCCGGAGCTGTGGCTTCATGGGAAAGTCTCAGGTCTCAGGGCAAAGCATGTAAAAAAATTCCAACTGTCCTGAAGTCCTCATGGTGCAAAAGAGTCTTTGTGCACAATAAAATGATCATGGGTTCAAAAGGTTGTCCCTGACCTCACCCTGTTTATCTCACCCCCCCCCCAAAAACAAAAAAATCAAGATTGGACATGCAAACACCTGAACTCACATGGGCCTTAAAACTAGGACACAATTTAAATGAAAAACTTGACTTTTCAGCGGGTGGACTTGTTGAGCAACCACCAAGCATCACCCGCCTGCCTGCGCACCGAGTAGCCTGTCGGCGTGTAACGGGACAGGGAGTGTGTTTCTTTAAGAAATGTAAGGTGGGTGAGCCCCTTTTTCCTGACGCGCGCCTGGTATGCAAACATAAATTTAGCAGCAACGTGTTTGCTGTGGGGGGAACAAAATATCTGGAAGCCACCGAAAAGTGTCATGCCGTCTCCGGCAGTTCTTGGCTGACTTCTACCTTCATCTCTCTCTCTCTCTCTCTCTCTCTCTGTGAACTGGAGCCGGAGCCGCAGCGCGTAGACGAGAGCGGACCTCTTTCTCCCCCTGAGGGACTGGGCAGACTGGACAGACTGGTGGGACAGTCGGACGGAGAGCGGGCAACCACTACTGCGTCTCTCCAGTTTGAAATAACATCTCGCTTGCGGCGTCAGAGATGACCTGCTTGTGGACGACTGGACTGCTTCTTCTCGCTGTCTGTGCGAAGGTGAGCTTCACATTCATACAACGTTTAATTCAGTCATTGGACATGTGAGAGGAAGGCGCCTCGCTTCAGTTTTAGATGCGTTTGGGAAATTGATGCACCACAAAACCGCTGTTATTTTGGCTGTTTATCTTTATTTTTTTATTTGTAGTATTATTTTTACAACTTCTTTTAAGTTTCTCTAAATGACACCTTACTATTGTAAAGCAATGGGGACCCAGGTGCTTTGGGTATGTGTATCTTTATTATATCCAAACTGCAAAGGTTTATAATATTTTACAGGATTGATTTAATATTACAGATATATACAGGACCCATTATGATTTTATTTTTCTTTTGGGATGAATTGAAGTGTTCTGTGGTCCTGCTCTTCCTCCAGTGATGCTGAAGCAGGTCCAATGCTGCTGCACAGTGGATGAGATGATGTGTGATGGGACAGTGTGGTATTGTCTACAAATCTGAAAATGGTACAATATCTCAAACAAGCAGTAATCAACAGGAAACTATGAAAGTGAGAGTGTGAATACATTCAAAATACTGTGATAAAATGTGGGTGAATTTTCTGCGTATTTAAAGTCTTTATTTATCATAATTAATATACAACAACCGTCCTTCCTTTTACCTTTTTAATGTCAGACCTGAAATTTATCAGTCCAGCGTTGAACAAACTTCTAAGATCAGCACACTCAGTTAATTCCTCCCGAAATAAGTTATCTCCTAAAGGGCCTATAGTTCGTGCAGACAAAAAAAGCTGACACATGCTTAGTGACGAGCTTGTGAGTGGAACACAAAGCAGTTGTTTGGCCTGCAGACAGATTCTGGGTCTGTAACAGAGGGGTGGGGGATGCCACTGTCAGCATGTGTAAATGACCACGACAGGTGCAAATGGCACCTCAAGGTGATTTGGGCTTTAGACACCCTGGCTGCCATGTGCCCCCCCCCCCCCCCCCGCTGAGCACGTCCACGCTGCAATCAGTGAATGTCGGTGACAAGAGAAGCGCTTGAGGCTTTGCAACTCTTTTCCAGGCCACTGTCCAGTGCTGGCTTGATTATGTGCACTTTAATTAGGCCTCTTGGGAAGAAAATCACAAAATTGGCACATTAATGGACTTACAATGCGCATGAGCATCAGTGTGAAGCTTCTGATGGAGGACCTTTTGATTGTGTTTTCCCTACAAAAACACAAATGACTGATTGTAGACGAGTCCTTAATTCTCCTATATGAACAGATTTTGTTTCTGTTACGAAACTGCATTATATATAATTGTATCTCCATGAGCTGAACAGTAATACGCCCTCACTGACTACTGTGTCACAACAAGTGATGTCAGTTTGATCGGTTTGTGTCTCTGTCACATATCAAGACTGAACAATTACTTGTTTTTTTTTTTTTTTTTTTGCTCAAGTGGGTCATGACAAGCATTCCCATCTGTGCAAGCGTTGACTGCGCGGCATGAGTCAGCACTGGTCGTTTATCTGTTCTCACACACACCAGAGTGACCCAGTGCTTCGCTCCAGAGACCGGCCCGTCAACAGTTGCTGCCTACCGCCCTCTCTGCTATGCGGTGGCCATGTCCTTTTCATCCTCGCCCCTCAGGTCAGGGTCTCTGCATTGCTATTGAACTAAAGAATGGGACTCTATATTTGTGTCCGTGGCTGTTTGGAAGTCGTGTGACTTGTGTGTGTGTGTGGGCCAAATGGCCTGTGGCTCCAACCCTAAATGGAATAGGCCTTCCTTTGTGGGTGACATAATGACATACCTCGAGTGATTCTTGGAGGGTCTTGTTGCTCTCACTCCATTCCCTTGATTTGTGCAGCAAAGTGGAACCTTCCAGAAATGGGGTTTTTTTTTTCTTCCTTTCTTGCTGGATGGGGATTTGAAGGTGCTTGTGGTGCGCTGGAGGCTGCGCCCTTAAAAGACACTCATGCATCTCTCTAAGCACCAATGTTAGTTGCTGTAAATCAGGATTCTGGCACCTGCCAGGGCGACGGAGCAAAGCAAATCCTTTTTGTGTGCTTTCATTTTGTTTGATTTGGCACTTTTCTCTCTGTGCCTCTCATTGCTTTTGCCTTTTGTGCAATTTTCTTTTGTGTTAAAACTACATTTTTTGTGAAATTACAGAATGCATCATTCATGCTTTTTTTCCTCCCTGTTACCATTTCCAATACCCAAATCAGCTAATAAGTGCCGTAATGTCTTTTCCTAAAATGTAAAATCTTTGAACCTCTGATGTGTGCAACATTTTCTTTGTTGTATTCCTAATGTTAAAAGTTTGTTGGTAATAAGATAACCGGTTGGCAAACTTGTAATAAAACATATTCTGTTTGTGCAAAGTGTCAAAACACTCTCCCGACAAAAAGTTTTTGGGAAACGCTCACTAGCTTAGCGAACGTAAACAAGTCTCACAGTAAAGGCCTATCACTGCGTCACAACAGGAAGTAATCACAGGCGGGAAGGAGGGAAATATCAGCGGTAGCTTTGTGCTTACCAGAGGAATTAGAAACTGTATTTAATGTAGTGTCCTCTGGCCAATCAGGGACATTGAAGGACAGAGATAACACCGAACTGACAAACAAACTGGGCGTGTGTGTGTGTGTGCGCCATTTCATTCTTTTCCAACACAAATTCAGGTGAATATATCGGCTTAAGCCTCTAAAAACCATTGCTGCAAACCCTACAGGCTGTGACAATGATATCTCTATCGAAGTGGATGAAATTGCTCTCCTTTTTCTAGAAGTTATGGCAATAACGACATGATTTATTGCTTTCGACAGATGATGGATTTAAGTCAGCTGCCAGGCTTCATCGCATTGTACGGCTGCCACACTCAGCTGGAATTCAAAAAAGGAAACTGGCCACAAAAGCAACATATTTTGATGTTTATTCAACGAAATGGTTCCTCTCAGAGTCCTAATGCAGCGGGCGCGGTGTTTTTGAAATCTTCAGGATGGGGAATCTTTGGGGGTCTAATAGCAGTATTAAGTGGGGTCACGGCGTGCAAACGTGTCCCGAGTGATCGTCCGTCAACAACAACATCTCTTGTTCTCCGAAAAACCGGCTCCTTGGCCTGATTGCGTGATCGCAAAGACCGCAAACTATCCAATTAGATTTCATGAAGGCCTTTGTTGTGGACGCAAGTGGAATGGGAAGTGAATTAATTTTCAGGGGGGATTGGGTCCCACTTGAGGAGAAAAGGAAAGGGCTTCAGCGAACATCTGGCCAGTGATGGATGGAGCAAGTTTTTGGAGCGCGCTAACAAAGGCGAATGTTTTCAGTTATGCTGCAAATGCTTTCATACTCATCGCATCGTTCCCATCTGGGCTTAATCTGTGGAGTGAGACTGAGGGCTGCTCAGTGAGGAAGTGTATCTGTGCAATGTTACTCTCAATCCAAAAGCTAAAATTCACTGGTACTCATCTTTGCGGGAATTGCCATGCTGCGATATGTTTCACTTTTCATGCAGCGCTCTTGTGCTTTCCTGGCACAGTGGCAATGTTTCCTGTGTGTCCTACTCAGGTGAGCCGGGATGCTGCTCTTCAGAGAAAATCCAGAGAGCAGGCATCCATCCCTATAGAGCCGGGCCAAAAAAAAGGAAGTCGCTTCACTCCATTCTCGGTGGGCCAGTGAAGAAAAAGTACTGCAGAACAGAACAAGACATGGCAGCTTCTAATGGATGTTGAGTCCCAAAGAAAGTTCTGTTTCAACGGTATCAACAACAAACCAATAACTTGGCTTATAGGTCCAGCACTCATCTCCAATTTGTCTTTTTTTATTTACTTTATTGAAAATCCTGAAGATCCTTCAGTTCAAGGGATCCATTGTAAAAATACAAAATCACCAATTTTCCACATGGGCCATGACCTCAGAAGACTGGCTGAAACTAGACCTGGCTAGCAGTCCCAGATGATGAGCTTGTCTCTTGTATTTTGTTTTATGAAAGACTGTCTCCCCCTCTTTTGACAATCCAAGTGGTGACGGATGAACAGCAGCAAACCAGACCTGACCGAGTGCTTTTGTCTTTGACTCCAAACACCTGATTATTAGTCAAATTGACAGTTTGATATCCTGAGAAATATGTTTATTCCCTTTCTGGCGATGAGCTGGATGATAAAATTGATCTTCATGTTTCGTGTGCAGACACGAGAGTGGTATCAATCTTCTCATCGGATTTTCAGTAATATAGCAAAATAGAGCATTTCCCAAACTGTCAAACTGTTTTATTAGCATCAGGAGTTTATTAATAAACTGGGCCTTGTGAAAAATATACACACACACACACACACACAATCTTGTGGAACTTGAGAGTGACGTTTGCCTTTCAATCACTTGATGCCAAGTTCTAATAACACGCTGCGACTGACTGCCCAAAGTGGCCCGTGCCAGCAAATGGCATAACTCGCTGGAGTCATGTTGAAGTGTTATTCCAGAGTGTATGCGAGAGGGCACGTCGTTCAGGCGGCAGTATCAAAACACATAATGAGTTTTTGTGGTTTCATGTGGCTCTCAGGAATGTCTTATTGTGCCACACACACACACACACACACACACACACACACACACACACACACACACACACACACACACACACACACTGCAAAACTCTGCAAAACTCTCTGATTTCATATTAGGCTGCTGTCACGCATTGATAAAGAGCTGCCAGCAGATGGCAACATTACAGCAGAGGGACAGTTCAGCAGCGTTATGGCCTCTGTAGCTCCCACGGCCATCGCAGACAGTCGCCTCTATTGTGATTGTGCAGGTGGCTGCCCTCCGTCCCCCCTCTCCGTTTCCTCTGGAGCCCCTGTGAATGCGTTTGTTCCTTCATCATTTATTTGTCATTGGAACGCAGGGGCCTCTGGCATCCTGTTCCTCTGATGAAACATCTCGGGCGAGCCCCACGTCCCCTCCGTCAGCGTGATCGAGTGCTGTTGTTTTATCTTGTTGTGTGTTCCTGGACACCAGCTCAGACTATAGTGCGCAGCAGCCGTGGCCCTCCGCGCAT